CCTCCGGGGGTGCCTAGGGCACCCTAAAGCTGCCTGCCCACCCCCCCCCCCCCAGGATTCCTAATTCACCCCTAAGGTGCCTGTACTGCTCTCCTGGGGTGCCCAATGCACCCCAAAAGTGGCTGCATCCTCCTCTCCAGGGTGCTCGGGGCACCCCAGCGGTGCCTGTACCCCCCCTCCCAGGGTGCCTCCTGCACCCTAAAAGTGCCTGCATCCCCCCCACGATGACCACTGCACCCCAGAAGCGCCTGTACCCCCCTCCCAGGGTGCTCCGTTGCTGCCTCTACCTCCCCAAAGATGCCCGGTGTACCCCAAAAGAACCTGCGCCCCTCCCCAAGATGCCCAGTGCACCCCTGCCGTGCCTGTACCCTTCTCCTGGGGTGCCTAGTGCACCCCAAAAAGTGCCTGCTTTCTCCCTAGGCTGCTAGCTGCACCCTAAAGGTGCCTGTACCCCCCTCCCAGGGTCCCCTAGCATTGCCTGTACCCCCCCAAAGATGCTCAGTGTACCCCAAAGTTGCCTACATCCCCCCCAGGGTGCCCCGTGCACCCCAAAGTTGCTCACAGTCCTCCCTTGGGGAGCCCTGGAGGTGCCCGCTGCATCTGAAGATGCCCACACCCCTTCAGGAAGCCTGGTGTACCCCAAAAATGCCTGCACCCCCCCATTCAGCATGCCCAGTGCACCCGGAAGGTGCCCACAATCACCCCCCCCAGGGTGCCCCATTGGTGCCCGGTGCACCCCAAAGCCACCCGCCCCTCCTGCCATAGAGTGTGGTGCACCCCAAAGGTGTCTGTGACCCCCTCAAATGCCTGGGGCACCCCAAAGGGGCGCACCCCCCCCTCCAAAGCTGCCCAGTGCACCCCCCAGGTTGCCCAGTGCCCAACCAAAGCTGCCCAGTGCACCCCTCAGGTTGCCCAGTGCACCCCAAAGGTGCCCAGTGACCCCCTAGGAACTTGCCTCACCCCCGCCCCAGGTGCTCAGGGCACACAGCACCCAAATGCCCCCCCCAGGGTGTCGGGGGGGTGCCAGTCCTCTCCCAGGGACCCCTCCCCACACTCAAGACCCTCAGCTCTGCCTGCCAGCACTCGGGGCCCTGCTCAGGGATTTTGGGGTGGGCCTGTGGCACTTTGGGGTCTAAATGGGCTGAAAAAGATGAATTTCCAGCCCAGTGCCACCCCCGCACCCCACAGTGGGGGAAACTGAGGCATGGCACAGCAATCCCGCTGGACCCCCATGTGTCCTTTGACCCTAAACTGGGCCCCCCCAAATTGGTGGAGAGTGAGAATGAGGGGCTGGAGCCACTTCCCACGTGAACTGGCCCATTCCGGGGGGGGGGCAAATGGGTCTGGGGGAGGAATGCCAAGCCCCCCACCTGCATCTGGGGGGTAAGGGGGCTTGCACATCGCCCCGGGAGGGGGCATGGGTGCTGCAAGGCCGATGCAGCCCCCAGCCCCCCACCTTTGCA